TGCATTGACGATTTTTTCTTAACTCGCAAAAATCTTCAAACAATTTGCTATCGATTGGTGATAAAATTTTTTGGAAATAATGAAATAGAGGGGATAACGCCTTTTTTTCAGAGGTGATTTTTCAAACATTTATTTAAAAAAAAGTACCAACTAGCAAATGTTTTTTATTAGCTCGCAATTTTCTTCAAAACTACTTCAATGAGGAAAAAAATAAAAATTTGGAATATCTATACATGAGGGGCTAATTGATCGGATCTAATTGGAGACTAAAAATTTTTAAAAAGGGATGATTGACTATAAAATGGAGAAAATTTGTTATTCTTCATTTGTGTGGTTTAAAACTCGGAATCACTGTTTTTTTCGAATAAGGACAGAATCCGAGTATTTTAGAATTTTATGATTTGATTTTAACCAGAAGAAATGAAAAAACGTAAAAAAAAGTAGGCGGGAAGAAAAAAAATTAATTTTTCAATGTCTCCGGAAACTTTTAACATCGCTATATTTCTTCAAATAATGGAAGAGAGTACCCATAAATTCGATTTATATCTTTGTCTTTTGATATAATGAGTAGAATAGATGATAGAAATTGAGAATTGGAGACTAAAAATTTAATCGGATTATTATTATGTATAATAATCTGAAGACTAGCTAAAGATTTCCAACGAAAACAGGGTTTCAACCGCCTCAATCTACTGCCGTCTCCATTTCAACAAAAGATCAAGGTCAGTATTATCGACTCATTTGATATGATACAGGTAGATACTTCATCTTTCAATTTCAAGAACATGCATGTCCACTTGATCAATATGCAGTTTGACAGAAGTAGTTTCTCGACAATTTTGAGGTTAAAAATTAGAACTATCAATAACTCGTGATTTACCTTAGTATAAAATGCTGTTTCATTCTTGAAATAGTCCTTACTCCTGAAGATTTGATTTCGCGTTTTGTTGATGGGAATGGCTTTGACGATAACCTTGTTCTGCGCTGGTTTTCCATGGACGATCCCATCTATTGTCACACGACTAACAACCGAAAGGTAATTATCGCCTTTTCCAGCAGCGGGTTCAACGTTCCAGGCCGAAACAACGGCCCCCTGATCACCGGTCAATCTTACCAAAACACTTTGAAGTGTTTCTTCAGTGAATTTAGAGCTCACAGAAGCTAACAAACTCTTGTCTGTACTCGTCATACTTGAATCACTATCAAATAATAATGGTAGAAATTGCAATCTATAGGACTACTGCTCTGCTCGGTGGCCTGTTATGCTCTGTTGTTCCTTGGTCAGCTTAGCCGGTCTTGTTCGTTCCATTCTCCATATTTTCCTGTCTACGTGGCGTTCCCGTATGGCGTTAAAGTGCATTAGAGGGAGAGGCACTGGAGTAGGTGCATTAAAGACTTAACTTCAATTACACCAATTAGAGATTCTCTTTATCTTCTATCTATGCTCCCTCCCATTGGTTCATATAAAACGTTTACATACACAATTGTTCGGCGTGTCTTGTCTCAATGAAATTATCATAATTCCATGATCAAACGTTTTTTGCTTTTTTTTATTATTCTCGAAGGACAATTTCAATTTACAGTGTTGGAAGAAACCTATCAGAGTAAAACAGACACGTAAGCGTTTTCATTTGGCCGAACGTTGACTATACGTATTTCCACACTGAAACGTTAGGCCAAGTACAATTGATTTCATGTCTACAACATGTGATTTTTACTGAAAGTATTTACACAACGTTTTTGTTTTTAATTTTGGGAAGTAAAGGTCTTATGGAGTTTATCTTCTTACTCTACCAGGTGTCTTCGTGTTTTTTTTTTATTATCTAAAAATTTTTAGCTTCTATTTAACAGCAAGTAACAACTTATACATCAGCATTAACAACAATAACAACAATAATATCTGTAGAAAAATGATGAGAGAATATGAGTTTGAAAAGTTGATATAGACTATTCTGAAGATATCTTTAAAAGTATTGGGTTTAGAGGAAAAGGTCAAGAAACCTTTGTTGCAGAGATATTGATCGGTTACAAAAAAGATACTCCAGTTAACTTCTTTAAATCAGGGATGGGTAAAGTCCAGGTAGCTCGGAGCTGCTGCAATAAAACCAATCAGGAAGGGCTATAAAGTTTACAACCCTTCCAATTACAGGGGTTTCCGTACGATCATATTGGGGGAAGCGAAGTGAGTGCAGTGGAAATCACAGCAAAAACGAATGTCTGAATTTCACACACCGTTTGTAGACATTTTTCAGACATTAAAAAATGTCTGAATAAAATGAAAATGTGTCTGGATTTCAGACGAACAGGCGCGTAAACATCTTATATCATGTTTGAAATTCAGACGGATTTTGATTCTATTCCGTTTTTTAGTGTCTGATAAATGTCTACAAAAGGTGTGTGAAGTTCAGACATTTTTTTTTGCTATGTTAACTGTATGAAGAGTGCCTCACGCCATGAGTGCGGAACTTAAGAGTAAACTACTATGAGTTCTCAAAGTCGCAGACTACTGAAGTGATATTTGTCATATATTGAAGATCGATTAAATATATATAAAAACAAAGAATTACTATGAAAATCAATTTTACTGTCCGTTTACCGCGCAGACACTAGACATTGAAAATAGTCTAGTCTCCTTAGTTTTTGAGCTACATAAATTTTTATTCTAATTTTCCAAAAAAAGTATAGAATTACTACTAGGAATTACTTTTTTCAATTATAATCTTGATGGAGCCAGTTTTGAAGTTATTTGAATAACCAATCCAATTTTTTACTTCAATTTTTTTGTTATATCATAACTTATTGAACATCAGAATTTTGGAAATACACATTCTAGCTATTTTGCATGAATCATTTTCGATTCCTGCTCAGCTAATATTTTGTTGTTTAAAGGTTAAACCCAGTGTTCTGCAGTTCTGAAGATATTTACACAATAGTCTAGATGGGGTTTTTAGACTCACCTTCTCTTACTATTTCGGTACAGAAATGCTATCATCTTAAATCAGTTTGTTTTCTTGATTTTGTCATAGTAATTTTGCAGGTTGATAATATTTTTTATCACTCGAGATGAGCTACCTTTACAAAAATCTTCATTCTCTGGACGTTTTTAAACCTAATTAGCGTTAACTATCTAGCTTCTAGGTACTACGAGTCATCAACGTCTTCAATGGCTTTTCGTCTCTTTCCCATTTTTCAAAATACTTATTAACCCACTCGATCTCAAATTGACCAGGGCGATGTGATTGAATGACACTGAGGGAAAGGTACGATTAAATGTTCTATATTTTCTGCATGAATTTGTCATCATTTTTTTCGGTTAACTTGTGGATGGATGTGAAGGCATGTTTCTCAATTCCTTAAGAATTCTTCAAGCAATGGGCTAGCGTCTCGATGTCTGGTTTCATTGTGCGTCGTATAATGATAAAATTCTGTCCAATTCCATCGCTGCAGAACAAGTTAGTAGGGAAGTGATAAGGGGAGGTGGCTCTATTAATTTCATATTGATCATCCTGCGAATATCTCCCAAAGGAAGAGATTTAGAGCAAAATGTCATAAACTTTTTTTGTAGTTCATGAAATTGAAAACTCAACAATTTCGGAGATATTTTAAAAATGGTTTCAATGCTAAAGGTTTTGAGCTTGTCCTCATCTCCACAGACGAATTAGCAGATTGTCTCGTGAAAATCAGCGAAATCAAATGATTGAAAGGAAAACATCAGTAGACCTTTTTGTTTGTAAAATTTTAAAGACTACAAGAAAGTTTCCCGATATCTTCCTCTAAATCCATTGGTTTGATAGATAAATCTCCTCTTAAGACTTCGCCACCAGAATTATTGTTTCAGTTTTTCGTTTTTTCGTTCCCCATTCTTCTATGTAGCGACACAAATTAAGTGCTTGTACTTCGGTATACGTGTGCATTGATTTTTGTTCACTAGTGATTCATTCTGCGCCCCTCCATAGCGGCAATATCATCGACCGATATTAATTGTTCGATGGGAATGCAGGAGAGTTCCCCACCTACACAGGATTGCGGCTGCTGCCATCGAGCCTCACGTTCAGCCTCTTTGGCTTTGACCTCTGCCTCTCGGGCTCGACGTTCTTTCAACTTTAGGGAGAATATTGCAACAGAGCGGGCTCGTTTCATTAGGCTTTGCTTGACACGGGTCTTCTTGGCTTCTCGTTCCTCTTTCGAGGGTTTGTCTTCCTCTTGGCTGGAAAGAGTGCGACTAGAGTCGGAGAGACCACCTGCTTCTGCATGGCCGAAAGAACGACGATCTCGAGTCTCGGGTTGGGGTTCTTTAGGCACTCGATGATGCTGAAATTGAGGAATTTGCTGGATGATTTGTCTCTCGGGCTTTTCGCGGATTTTCGCTGTTTCTTTCTCCGGTGAAAAGCGGAATTTCTGGTTTCGGTTAGCTAGGGACCAAGGCGGTGCAGATCTGGAAGAAAAATGTAGCAAGGTTTTTCAGTTGGAAATATCTTTGACAATGCAAATTAGTTTATATAGTTTCGGGTTACTAAATTTTGCCCTTTTCCCGTGCTGCGCCACACTGAAGAAAAACCGCCCCCAATTGGAAAGTCACTTGCAATTTGTTTCGGGAGCACGTTGAAAAAACTTCATTGAAAAAGCCTGGTTAAATTCAACTTGGGAAAGGAATAATCGATACTCATTTATTCAATTGAAATGGTATTTTCTTGGGAGGAGGAATTGAGTTGTAGCGCGAATTTTTTTTTTTTCATTTCATCAGCAGTTCCCGAATATGCGTTTTTTAGAAGGTGCTTGCATATATGTATATATGCGGACTTTTTTTCTATGTACGTCAAAAGACTCTAAAGAAGTAGAAAAAGTTTTCGGTCCAAGCCATGTTGCCCCGTAGGTCATGGTAAAACATCGTTTTTCATATTTTAGTTTTCATCCAATTTGAAAATTTTTTTCTTTAAATGTCCGTTAGATTTTCTGAGCCCGTGACATAAAACAGTTTACAGCACACGGCCCACAAAGTATTTTCTTTTTAATGTGATACACGGAAAGAGTATAAAATGAAAAATTACAATGTGAACATAGTAATCCAGGACCATACCGGGAAAACTTTAAAATATGATCTCTTTTAAATTTCTCTTTTACTATTTAACCGTTACACAGAACTCCCGGTCTGTGGGACTGCTATCAAAACGTTCACAGTGTATAACTAGTGATCAATCTAAGAACAACATCGAGATACGCGGTAGCGTATCGGCCAAGTAACTTTTTACCGACGATCGACCGTGGCGCCATCCCTCCCATGGGGTGATCACTATTTCAGCTCGGGGTCGCCTGCTCCTGGAGAATTGAGCCTCTACTTTAGTCTATTCTTTTTGGTCATTTCTTTCGAAATGTTGATGAAAGTTGGCCAACTTGTCTCCATCTAGTATCGAGTACTATGTGTGCTCCGGCGCCTTCTGAAAAGTGGGCTGATGCGCATGCGTGTAGTGAAAAGTGAGGTGAGACGGAAAGAAAGTATAGGCCAACTGACGAGTCCGTTACCTTCGTAGCTACCCCCCTTTGGCTAATCCCCACGCACATCCACATCTCCCACCTCTGAAAACGAAGGGAACGGACTCGTCAGTTCAACAGTATTCATGATCCTGAATCATGGAGAATAGAGACCAGGAGGCCGAACTCATATGGGCGATGCGCCTGATTATGAGACGGGAAGGCGGTCGGCGACCATAATTCTATATGTGAACACAGGCGTCGCTGCTGTTCCTCCGCAAGCACTCACGTACATGATGTGAGCGTATGTTAGTAGATTCCTAATCACTATCGCATGTATGCATTCAAATGTCATAGCCCAGTTCACGTTCATTGTTTACCTTTTTGTTTTGCGGGTAATGTGAATTATAACATTAATTAATTACGGAATAAAAGTCAAATTATAAGGTAAAAGGCCAGTATGAGGAGTGTGTGCTCATTCCCCGGTTGTAATTCGGGAAGTGCAAGTGATAAAAAGAGAAATAAACAACATGGGGTACGAAATAAAGCAATGTTTGGATTTCCACAAACCGTTAGTATTTTTATGATTCTGATTAACTTAATGTAATTCAAATAATTCCCAGTAAAGGTTTAAACTATTAAACTATTATTATATAACCGCTCTAGGACAAAAAACCGTTTATTCGACATAAGTGGGAAGAAGTTATAGGTCGTAAGGCAAAAGATACCGAAGTTCTTTGTGAGTTGCATTTTCGATCAGAAGATGTATTGAGAAGTTATGAAGTATTTCTCCCCAATGGGATCAAACACCATGAACCGAGGAAGAATCACCATAAAGCCAAGTGCAATTCCACAAAATAACCAAGGCAATATCGTATGTCCTGAAGACAATATTTGTGAGGTAAGTAACAAGTTGTTCTACGAAAATTAATCTAAAACTAGCTAGAAAAATTAATGCAATTAGTCATCTTCTTTGTTTTTTTTCCATGGTAAAATTACTATCAAATTAAGAAATTAGCATTACAAATGAGGTATTCTGAAACCTTTTTTCAATTCTTTATGTTTTGTCAATCTATAGAAAGAGAACATTGGACCAGCGAATCCCCAAGAGGTGAGAAAAGGAGAGCCAAGCATACCAGATGTCATTATCGACCAACTAGAAATTCAGTCATCCAAATTAGCCATGGATGCATCAAATGACTCAGACGATCGAATTCACATCAGATCAGACATATTGGAGCCAGAAATCCAATTAGAATCTGATCTATTCGCAACATCTCCTCTCGCGAGAGAGTCAGACAGTCAGATCCGTTTAAATTCAGGTGACTCAGTGGCCTCGTCTTCATCCTCAATGGCCTCCTCGTTCTCAAAGGCTGAGAACTCATTCTCTTTGTTCTCCGGTTACAAACATTATTTATGTAAATCAATAGAAGGCATTTCTTTCTTGCCTATTTCGAATAAAGAATGTTGACAACTTGGCTTGCAAAACAGTATGCGCCCTACCACCTGTCCCATATATCCCTTCCAAGCGGCCGATAGTGATGTGACACTAGCACCCTCAAGGTATTTGAAACCGGGTTTCAGGCGCATTATCGTAACCAATGTTCGGTCTCCTGGGCTCTATTCTCCATGGGAAAGCTTAAGCAGCGCTGAGCGTGGTCACTAGTAGGTTGGGTGGCCGCAAGGGAACACCTCTGGAAGGGGTCGAATTTTTCGAAAGTTGGAAGAAGCATTAGGAATTAATATTCTACTGAAAAAGTGAAAATCCGTGAGAAACCGAAAGTTATACGGTAATGGAAAAAGTTTATTCTCTGAGGGAATTGATAACAAATAATAATTAGCACCAATTATTCAGAATGAATGCCATATCTTTGTTAGTTTAATAATCAACTATCAACAGGCGAGATTTATATGAAGAGATGTTTATAACAAACATTTATGGGCGAAGAGAAAAAATGAAATTGAATATATTCATACGTTTTGCCCCTTCTGTTCAACCCTTTCCCGTTTGACCCTTCCATCGTTTAATCTTTCCTTGGTTGATCTTTCCCCGTTTTAGCCCTGATTTGAATCTTCAGTTACAAAAAGTATTGATTCATTCGCTCAAATAAACGGGAAATGCGATCCAGACGGAGTAGCGGTCTGATAGACCGCGGGGTACAGTAAACGTGCATTTTCGGAAGGGTTCGGTGTAAAGGTTAACATAGTAATTTTGAATAAAAAAAAAACAGTATAAAATTTAAGACTGTGTTAAACGCTTTTCTTTAAAGGCATTTTTACTATTGAATCAACGAAAAATGACGCAAATGGTTTCTAATATCTCGCAACTTTTATCTAAAGTTAATCAACTCTTTTTCTCCCTGCGGTGCTTGAATAATGAATATTTAAAAATTATGGAATTTTCAATTGGAATGGAAAGGCTGAAATTTGCCATTCAACGTTATGCATGTTCTTCTTGGCTTATTGAACTCACCGTAACAAATCACTGTCCGATGAGGATGCAAGTTCCTTTGAGACGATACAGTCAGTGGACCGATGAAGTGAAATGTCTTCAGTAGTGGGTCCAGGGCTTCCACTCCCAGGTGTAGCACTGATCTCAGAATCACTGGACTTCCTTCCTCCAGAACTCTCCAAGCCAAGTCGTCGGACCCACTCGATCCCTCCATGATGACCTATAGTGAGGTGATGACTGTACTGATCAGTCCCAGGTGATGATTCTTGCTCGCTTGATAACCAGTCTCTGGATCGTCGCCCTGAGACAACAAAAGGGTCTAGCGAGCCCCGAACAACAAAAAAGTCTATCCTTCAATAAAACCACAAGAAATGCAGGAACAAAAAAATATAAAAATGGGGAAAAAATTGTACGAAAAATTCTACAAAAACACGAGAGCAAATGAAACAAGCAAGTGTTTACCTTTTTCGCCTCCTGGAATGGAGCAACGCGGAGTATTATGAGAATCTCGACTTCCAACGGTGTAACCGGGTAAAAATGTGCTGCTACCATCACTCGTGACGCTTCCTGGTGTTTCCAGTTGGGGTGGGGTCTCAGCGATCCTCGGAACTTGGCCATACGCTGCTGGAGTTGGCGGGCTGCTTGGAGTGTGCCCTGTCGATGAAGCCAGGGCATCTTGTGTCTCATTCGTTGTCATGCTGTTTTTTTCCAGGGTTGATATCCCCTCGTCACTTTCACCGTCTGCTGTACTCACCACGAACCTCCCTGAGTTCGAGGATAATTTAACAAACGGAAGGAGGGATCGACAAAAAAAAAGGCACAGAGAAAATATTTTGCGCATTTTTATCTTTCCGACGAACTTTACTCGCTGTTGACCACCTATTAAAATTCAATTCACTGAAGTGATAGATTGCAACTGATTATGTCGATTATCAAAGTATCTCTGCAGGACCAACATTTGAAACAGATATGAGACCTTTTTCATACGAAATTCTCTTAGCTACGCAGAAAGTCGTTCCACTTTTTTTCAATGGCATTCATTTCTCAAAGAGATTGTAGCTATACCAACAATGTCATATTCAATGCATCACGTTTAACTACTTTGATATCCAGTTTTTATTTAGTATCGATGTTGAAAGAACTAAAATTGTCATCACTATTCCGATAATGGTTTTCTTCGGAAACAATTGAAAATTAAAGCTGTTTGTCTATCAAGCCAAAATCATTCTGCAATTTTTTTGTATAACGGGATTGAATACTTAATTTTTAAATGGGCCTCAACATTTTCGTAAATTTTTTTCTTTTTTTTCTTTTTTGACTTAGAATGTCATGAAACGTCATAAATATAATGTTTTTTATAATGTCTGTTTGTGCGTTCTCATGTGCGTGCAAAATTCTGAAATTTTTTTAAATAAATTTCCACAAACAAAGAACTAACGTGGTAGATCAAAATTTGAAATTTTGGCTCATAATTGGTATTGGTCGGGAGCACATCTAGGCGAAATTTCAGCTCAATCGGTCCAGTAGTTTTTGAGATCGGTTTCTTAGGGCATTAGAGGAGGCTGCTGCTACTAAGTAATGTGTGGTTCAGTGTTCAGGTTATACATTGATATGAAAAGATCAGCGTGGAGAGACTATTTTTGAAATGCAGAAGTTTAGTTAACGTTGATGCTTATTGTTTTTGCTATTCCTTTCGGTAAATTTGGTGTTAAGCATGTGATGTTATATATAAAAAAGAAAGTGCAGCGATACATACAGGAAGACTTCAAGTCTATCATAATGAGGCTATCATAATATATTTTGAATTATTATATGCATTTTAACGGTGTTGTATTTTTGTTTGCTAAGCAGGCTCCGATGGGTTTTTAAGGATAATTAGGCGAGGAGGAATCGTAGGAGATGAGGCGGAGGGGTTTCTATTGTTTTCCTGCAGAAAACCAATCGTTGAACAAAAAAATTTTTCCCATTCGGATTCAAAATTCAGGCAATATTAGGGAGTATCTCCGGTTAAAAATTATTTTTGGAGCTAATCAAATTTATTTGTATCTGTTCCACGCATTGAATGGTTTTCAGATTGTTTTTTTTTAATAAATGAAAAAATATTAATCCATGCGAAAAAGTGGCAACATCGTCGGTAGTTTTTTTTTTCACCAGGAGCTGGTACCACTGGCTCGAAGGAGCTCCAATCACAACGCTTCATCGCTCTCTCAAGAGACGTTTAAATTGACCGCGCTACCCCCACCCGATCGGTACTTGAGACGTTGCCGCTCGTTTGGGCTGCGTGCGCAGAAATTTCATTTTTCAGTACTTTTTTCGCTATTATTAATAAACAATGCTCCTAGGCGACAATCTTTTTCACTCAAAAAATTATTGATCACATGTTCTAAATGTATCTAAAGTTTCATGACTTTGGCTGCATTTTTTCCTTATGGGTTTTGCATTTTTTTTTGTGATTTCCATAAGATCACGGGTTAAATGACCACTTTTTCAAAAATTCATAATAAATTAACCATGCTCCCCAGCACTCTGAAACTTTGCACACGCCTTTTCCACCATTTAAAGAATACGTTAAAAAAAAAGAAAAAAATGGCTGCTTTTTTTCCCACTCTCCGGGCTCGCCCGATTTTCCTTAACCTGGAGTCTATATAATAAAGATAGATAGATAGGTACAGCGGTTCTGAAAAATTTTTCTTTCCCCAATATTACGAAATTGCATAAAATAAACATTTTTTTGGCGTCAAAATATTATGATAATATCTTTATAATCGAAAAAAAACGAATTTTATTCCATGGAATCTAACGAACATTTTGAAAAAAAAAATTTAATCGAATGAAAATTGTGCTGCGAGGAGCATTTCAAAATCAAAAATACAAGAAACGCCGTATCGGGTAAAATGGGTACGAAATTTTTCTAACTTTTTTAGGTACTGCACGATATATCAAAAGTTGCTTAATAGTGATTTTTATCAAGGGAAGATTTTCAATGTTTGGAGAAAACGTGTGTATGTATGTCTGAATGTGTGTGTGAATTTTTCGGAAATTTTTTATAAATCTGCACAGAAAAAGGACTAAAGTTAAAGCTGAAAATCTGAAATTTCGTCACATAATTATATTATAATACGTTGGACGACTTCTGGGCGCAATTTTAGCTCAATTGCTCAAGTCGTTTTCGAGATACAATTTCTTAAAAATCTTTTTTTCTCAATATCTCAAAAACTACGTGACTGAATACAATTTTTTTGACGTTCATATCTTCCTTGTGATAATATTTATCAAATCAAATCGCAATATTGCTATGTTACTAGGGAAAGTTTTGTAATAATTGGCATTTTTTGTTTTTATGAGAAAGTCGTTCTGTGCACGATAACTCTCGAAATATTTAGATAGGATGTTGAAATTTTGTGGGCTTGTAGCTCTTATGACATTACAGAATGGAATTGTGAGGAGGCGAAATCGAATAAGTGGTTTAGAAGATACCTATTCACCCTTTTCTGAAAAATTGTTTTGTTCAATATCGCCCAAACTACTCTTCAGATTAATTTTTTCTTAAATACTCATCTTGCTGGCCCCTATCAAGATCATTCAAAATATGAATATCTGTTCACACAAAGTTCTCGAAATATGCGTGTTTTCTAATTTTTCGAATTGAGGGTTAATGTGGTGTTCCATAATACGCATAGAGCTTGGAATAACCATCTGAGATTTTGGCTACTAATTAGTATTATTGAGTCACACTCGTGTATAAAATTTTGTGTTGATCGATTAAATACATCCTGGTATAGGTACAGTAATTCATCCAAAAATCGTTTTTTCTAAAAAGTTTCACATGGTCATTTTAGCGATTATTTTCGCCTCTGGGGGCTCATTCTCAACTTGTGTGAAGACGGATTCGGATGTGAACGAGGCTTCGTTTATGGATTGCACATAGTAATGGTACAAGCGATCCGCGAACAGAGGCCCATTTACACATGAATCTATTTTCATAAAATGTAATATTTGATGGAATAACGATGAAAATGAGAATTGGTGTGGAAAAAGAAAATATGGGGAACATTTTTCTGGAGAACAATAATACATATTGAGTATGTCACTGGAAGAATATCGGTTCATGATGGAAAATGGAACGTACTCTATGTTTCCGGAATTAGAATAGAACATAACAGACAAGCAGCCTTAAAAAAATAAAAATATAGGAGACTGATTTCTTTGTAATCTTTGGAATTCATAAGATGTACTGAATATGAATTGATTATCAACGTCCACCCATGATTAAGTAGTGTTATCAAGTTTGAAAAAATTGTGTTGTTGAAAATGAATTTTCTATTGACTTCACACCTATTTGCAATTTTCAATTACGATGGTTTACCGATGATTCCGACCAGTGGCATATGATGCATTTTATTGCTCCCCTTATTGCACGATGATCCCTTTTTACTCCATTTAATCCCACTGAAAAATTACCATATAAATCCACTCCAACTATGATTAAAGCTTGCTGACACGTAAACCGCTTTTCCAATTTATCTGATCGTCCTGTTTATAAAGTACTCGTTATCGTATCAATCAATCTGACGCGATCGATATCGCATTAATGCGAATATTTCTCTGTGTTTATCCATGCAATTTTCACTAATGGGAAACAAACGACACCATTTTTTAAATAATCTCTCAGAAGTTTACCTATGACCGTTTGCGTCTGTTCTGGTGATGGTGTGGAGGACAGACGACGAACTGCTTCTCTCCGGAGAAATTCAACTTTAGCCATTTCAGTTGCCACCCACGTAGGAATGTCAGGGATAATGATGGTAATTATGAAACGTATGGCCATCATTATGTGCTCCAGAGCGACGATTAAGAGAATAGTCTGAGGCACTGACATTTCTGGAAACATTCGCTGTACTTGACCACTGAGACCTATCAGAGCGCAGTTGACGAGGATTGCTACGAGTCCCATTGCTTCCATTGCATTCTGGAAATAAAAATCGAAATATTTGGAGAAAATCCAGAGTAGGCAGGTAGATGAGGTACACGGAGAGATAGTATATTTCCGGCCTGTCGTTATTGGGTTTTTTACTCGTGGGGAATTGGTGCGCCGAGACGTAGGTGAGGCCTGCCAACCCCAAAACTATAAAAACGCCATAACGACAACCCGGACGATATTTTTCCGCAGCGATTTTCACTTTTACGAGTTTTCAGAAGGGCTAATACCAATCGCCGGACGAGAAAAAATGAAGAGCAGTACGGGAAAATGCTTTTCCGTCACGGCGCGCGCAAAGTACACATTTCCCTTTCGCTCCGCGGGAGGGAAATCTGACTTTGCGCCTACGAGTAACGGAAAATAACTTCCTGACCACGGGAACTAAAATAAAGGACCCTTCCCAGGTAGGAAATGCCAGTGTTGGAACAACGGGCCAAGTCTGGCACAATTCTGAGGTTGCCAGGTCTGGGTGGCCAAGCTTGGACCGAGATTCGGCCATGTCTGGGGACCAGGGCTTGACCCTCGGAGGAAGGGCGGGTAACCAAGCCTTGGTTGACAGATCTGGCCCAGCCTTGGTCCAACATTGGCATGTCGGAGCTCGATAACCAAGCCCCAGCCAGCGGTGGCCCGGAGCTTGGTCATTGGGCTCCAGCCGTTGCTGTAATTGTAAGGGTTAAGTCGGAAGGGTAAGATGATGAGAATGGAATCATAGGGGTGGAATCGGAAGGGTAATATCTGAAGAGTAAAATTGTAAGGGTTAAATCGCAATAATGAAAAGGGGGGAAAAAATTATAAGGCTGACATTGTGAGGGTTGAACGGTAAGGGTGGAGTCTTGAGGGTAAAATTTTAAGGGTGTAATCGTAAAAAAATGCTGACATTATAAGTATTGAAGTCACATTTTATTCGCTGATTATTACGAAAAGAAGAAGAATCGTAAAAAAAAACAAAAAAAAAGGGAGGTCGTGGGTTCGAGTCCGCGTTTGGGCAATATTTTAAGTTAACAAAATAGGTTTTTCAGTGATGATTGCGTTAGGGTTTGGTTGGTAGGACGCAGCTAAAACGAAAAATCTTCCTAAAAAAAGTTAATCATCTTTTTTTTGTTATTATTGATAATTGTCATGGACAGTGTGGTAGGCAGCCCGGCGCCAATCGCATGCCGGTATTGATTTTTTTTTCTTCCATGAACCTGTTACGAATGCTCAGGAGTAAGATTGAATTACTTGTGCTTCAATCACTGATATCATATTCATGTAATTAAGTAATATTTAATTGAGCCTGGCCAACGACTGGCCTTGCCCCATGTTATCATTCCAGGTCTCAACCAAGTCCAGCGCGGTCCCGGCGGAGGAACGGGCTCCGAAGTTCGGCAGCCCGGTCGCCGGGCTTCGACCGAGCTCGGCCCGTTCGGTTTTTCCTACCTGGGTTACCCACGTGTTTACCACGTTCTGCACGTGAGCAGGACTCCTTTATTTTCCCTCCCTAGGTTGGGAATATACTATAGAATAGTATATTTTCCACCAAGGAAGTGGCACAGTTTTCTTTCCTATGTATACGTCAGTATATTTCTAACCTAGGGAGGTAAAATAAAGGAGTTGTGTCGAAGTGCGGAATTACCAGGCGCTAAGCACGTGGATGAGGCTCCTTCGTTGCGCTTCACGGGAGGTAAATATGACTGTGTAGTAAACCGGAAATTCATACACATAGCGATTTACAGACGTTGTGCGACAAAATTTTCACATAACTCATGGTAAATGACGTTTTTGACAAGTGGGCTAACAATCTTCTCCTTTGGCTCGGGCTGTAAACTTCATACTCGCCAAAAACGTTATTTACCAATTCGTTCGATGAAATACTATTGCATCTACACCAGGGCGAAAAAAATTTAGTGCTGGAACTGGAAAAATCATAATTTATTGTCGGTATATTTTTATAAGATAAAACAGCTGGATAATTCTAAACACTTTAATCGAAACAGTTTATTTACAATTGTTATTTTGAAAAACAGTTTAAGAAAAATGGCTAAATCGTCTAATGCCTCTGACGAGGACTTCCTCTACTTCTACGTCTTCGACTTCAATGTTCGTCTAATCGTTCCCGACAATGAACTGCACTCCCCGTTGTACCCTCATCCCTTAAATATGCACCTTCGTCCCTCCTAGCATCCTTCCCCCACACTACCACGCACTTTCTGGGCCTTACTTGCCATTTCCATATTTGGAAGTTTTCCCGAAACGTGGCAGCGTGGGTCAGCTAGGGGGTCGTGCGTCATCGATAAGGGTGCCACGGCGTTATGGTAATAAAACAATAAAACTATACGTCGAGACTTAATCCCGCGTCTCGTCTTAATCCTACCTTAATAAAATACCTTAATAAAATATTTTCCTTAACGTCTGAAATACTTTACAATGTAACTACCCTCGCGTAGTTCCCCAACATCTAGACTATCCATAACTAAACTGTACACGTAATTCCCGATGGTCGAGACATTCTTAAATTTAGGAGTTTTCCGTTACTACACTATTGACTACGAAAAATTCAGGTGCTCTTAGCCCTTAAGTGGTCGCATCTAGGGATGTGAAATGACCATCATTTTTCAATTCGGTCAGGTCAGGCAAAATTGACCGTTTTCTGACCATTTTCTGACACCGAGATAATTCCCCATGCAAAATGACCGTCATGAACAACCAGCGGCAAAAATTTGAGAAAATGATCAAAATTCCTCTATATAGATGCAAATTGACTGTCATTTTCTTTTTGGTAATTTTTTCGGTCAGATTTTTGGTTATTTTATTTCATTAGTTAGGGATTGAATCGCATTTCATAATTTAAAGTTAATGTTTATTGGAACGAATTACAAAACAATCATAAATTCGATACTCGAGATCACTCATGATAAACTCATGAACTTAATAAACTTCAACAAAATTAATTAAATATATATCTCTGTATATATTATGTTTTTGGTCAAAAACTTCATATTAAATTAGGAGAATGCTGGATGAGGCTCGTCTTCAGTCCTTCTCTCCTTAATTCTCATAATTGCCACCGGCTCCCTCATCTAGCTCGCTCAGATCTTCACCTGAATTGCTTGCTGAACGAATTTAGTTATCTAGTGTCGCATAGACCCTAGCGACGTAGGGTCCCTATGACCGCCAGCAACCTTGCCGACACCGAGTAACTGAATAAAAATTTCTGTGCGATCTATATAGATGAGAATTGACCGTCAGAATTGAATTGGTCATTTTTCGAATTCCTGACCGAATCGTCAGATTTATGGACGTGGTAATTACCCGTCATGAGCGCGGTAATTGACCGTCATTTGACCGGTCATTTTTGTCACTCACATCCCTAGTCGCATCGCGAGGGGATCCTCCCCTAGATTTCTGGTAAAATTTATAACGATTTCTGGGAAAATTTCATAACGGTATGAGAAAAATTCACGTGCTACTCAATAACATTTCCAGTGCCAGCTGGAATTTTCCTCGGCTGTCAGTTTGTGTCTCTCTCCTTCTGCTAGTACTAGAATTTTTCTGAAGAATTTCTTTCCGTGCCCATATCAAACTGCCAGAGTTCTTTTATCAGTGGACGAAAGAATTTTTTAAAATTTTTGTCAAGTCATAAGAGGCATCGATGTATGCGTAACGTATCTTCTGTTGGAATTCTGCGGCATTTCAACATACCATAGAAAAAATGTTCGTTTCTGAGTATACTTCATATGCAGTTAATGCCATTCTTTATTATGGAGAGCATAAGTAACCATAAAGTGGAATATTCCATTATTGAACTCAGCATATATCTCTACATGTATTCATTTTCTGTACAATTTCGTATGATTTGAAATTTTGATAACATTCTTTTAGAATGTCCATAGTCAATTGGAAAACAAATTCTTAGATATTGTTAAAAATTAGACATTGCTTTGGGGATACAACGATAAAGTTATAGTGAAACTATACGATATGTAATTCAATCAATCGATGGGAAGAAATAGTACAAATCATTTTCCTTTGCAAGGCAAAGGAACAAGTTCAAACTCAATTTTTTGAATGGTCCATTAATCTCCAAATACCTGTAAAATTATTATAAATATTGAGGGAAATAGGTTAAGATCTGTATCCTTAAAATTATTTACATAATCTGTATTTCCATTTTTAGTCTCGGCATCAATCGTGACCGAGAGAATCCGGTCGCGAAGTTTGTAAAGGTTCATGAAATGTTCAGGTACGAATAAAAATTATACTCTTCGTTTTCAGGCTCTCGAACAGGAGAGTTCTGAGAAATATATATATATAGGCAAACCTTTTTACAGTTTATACCATTCTCTACAGAAAAGGTTACTCAATAAACTTTTCCATCCCTACTATTTTCCGAATACTTTCATGAAATAATTTGCTAATCTGTTTTGAATTGACTTCCCTCTACTTCATTAATGGGTTATTTGAACTGGTTCATGTTGTGTGCTGTAGGGTTTGTAGGACAACCCCAGCCATTCCTTAATTCATTCATTCATCAACTTCGTAATTTATTAATGAGTTGACATGGAAGCCCTGAGTATGCAATCGTTCACTCATGGCACATCCTCCGACACCATGGAGACTGGTTACAAGGAATAGAATCATTCACGCAATCCTCCCTATTACAATTCAAATGTAACATTCATAAATTTCAAAATAAAATCAAATTAAACCATTTTCAATTCGATGTATTTTTTTCATTTCAATGTGAATTTTTTATTCACCTTTTTTTTAAATTCGGAGGCGGGGGTGAAAGGATTCCACACATGGGGCGTTCCATACTATTTTAATCGGCTTTTTTTTATTTCGATGAAAATGGAATATGATGTTGAAGTATCGTAAGCATGCCTTGAAATGTTATTAAAAAAAAATTTGAGATTGTTACAGCATGGTTCCACTTCGCAGAAAACGCAGATAAATATCCCATTAGTTATAATGAACTGGTAATGCTCCTAGTTGATGCTCATGATAAGGGT